TCATGTTTTCCAGACTGTTCAGCATTAATACATTTCATTCACTGTAGAAAGCCCCTTTTCTCAGAATGTAATAGAGAGCCACTGACTAGATCAGTTGCTGTGTTCAGTTTCCATGGTGTCATTATCAAGGTCTGTAATAAGTTGCCATATTTTGTCTTATCTGTAAAATGCAATTGATTATCATGTCATTCCTTAGTTTAATTTGTAGTTGTGGGACTTCTGAAAGTTGTCACCTTAGGTCCCTCATGGAACACACTTTGGTTTATTTGCTTTTTAAAATAAAATGTAGAGTATGAATAATTCTGCAGAAAATATACAAATCACATGTCATATTATTGCTCATTTTTAATGTTGCTAATGACAGTGGAATCGTGGGGTAATGTGGCCAAAGAGCTTTCAACGTGTGATCTCAAAAAACCTGGGTATGTGTATTTTGAGTTGTTTGTTGACCTTTGTGAAGTTTAGCAGTATCTTATGTTTGATTAGTATCTCATGTTTGATTAGTCTTTTGGAGTTTATAAAATACCTTGCGTATACGTTAGCTCATTTATGGTACAACAGCCTCATGAAAGGTAAGGAAAGTGGACTGATTCCCATTTTATAGATGAATCTGAGAGGAGAACGTTATTTGGATCCTTTCTCTTTTCTTTTTCATAAGTCTGGCTAGGGGTTTATCACTTTTAATAATTCTTTCAAGGAACCAACTCCTAGTTTCATTGATCTGTTCTTTTTTTTTTTTTTTTAGTTTCTATATCATTTATTCCTGCTCTAATTTTTATTATTTCCTTTCCTCTGCTGGCTTTAGGCTTCATTTATATTTCTTTGTCTAGCTCCTTTAGGTGTAAGGTTAGGTTGTTTATTTGAGATTTTTCTCTCTTGGACTGTCGTGTTTTCATTTTAATTTGTTGCCATGTATTTTTTTTTTATTTCTTCTTTAATTTCCTGGTTGACCCATTCATTCTTTTTTTTTTTTTTTTAGATTTATTTATTCACTTACAGTTGTTAGATCTTCCTGTTGGATAGTCCCCTTTATCATGATATAGTACCCTTCTTCATCTCTTATTACAGTCTTTGGTTTAAAATCTAGTTTGTTTAATATAAGTATTGCTACTCTGGCTTCCTTTTGATGTCTGTTTGCATGATAAATGTTTATCCATCCCCTCATGTTCAATGTGCAGGTGTCATTAGGTCTAAAAAGAGTCTCTTGTAGGCAGCATTTAGATGGGTCTTGTTTTGTTATCCATTTTGCCATCCTGTGTCTTTTGATTGGAGCATTTAGTCCATTTGCATTCAGAACTGTTGATAGCTGTGTATTTATTGCCATTTTATTACTTGTTTTGTCGTGACTGGAGAATTTCTCTGTTCCTTTCTTCTCTTTGTCACTTTTGTTCTTTTCTTTCCACTCAAATAGTCCCTTTTAGTATTTCTTGCAGGCCTGGTTTAGTGGTCACAAACTAAGTTTTAGTTTTTGTTTTCTCAGGGAAACTCTTCATCTCTCCTTCTCTTCTGTATGATAGCCTTGGTGGATAGAGTATTCTTGGCTGCTGATTTTTCCCATTCAGCACTTTGATTATATCATGACACTGTTCTGACTTACTAAGTTTCTGTGGAGTGATCTGCAGCTAGTCTTATGGGTCTTCCTTTGTAAGGTCAGTACTTCTTTTGTCTTGCTGCTTTTAGGATTTTTTTCTTTATAGCTGTATTTTGCAAATTTAATTACAATAAATCTTGGTATTGGCCCACTTTTGTGGATTTTGATGGGAGTCCTCTGTGCCTCAGGATCTGGATGTCTGTTTCCTTCCCCAGATTAGGGAATCTTTCAGCTATTACTTCCTCAAATAAATTTTCTGCCCCCTTTTCTCTCTCTTCCTGTTCTTGGACCTGTATAGTACAAATGTTATTTCGTTTGGTGGAGTCACTGAGTTCCCTGAATCTATTCTCCTGATCCATAATTCTACTTTCTCTCTTTTGCGGCTTTGTATTTGTCTGTTATTTTACCTTCTATATCACTTATCTGTTCCTCTGCTTCTTTCATCCTTGTGTTCATTATATCCAGTCTGTTTCAGATCTTTCCTACTGCAGTTTACATTTCTGTTTTTTTTTAACTCTTTTATCTCTGTGGTAAGGGCCTCCCTGAAGTCTTCCATTCTTTTCTCAAGTCCAGTCATTATCCTTATGATTGTTGCTTTCAATTCTCCATTCAGGCATATTATTTATATCTGTTTCAGTTAGATCTCTGGTTGTGACCTTATCTTGTTGTTTCATTTGGGATGAATTCCTCCGTCTTGGCATTTTGCCTAAGTGTCTGCCTTTGTTAGAAAAGCTTGTTCCGTTTCCTGCTTTTGAGTGTATTGGCTTTATGAAGAAGAGGTCATATAGTACCCAGGGCCTGGTGCTTCAGGGCATATGTCTGGTGCATGCTCATGCATTCTGCTGCTTGCTTTGGCTGCTCTGTCCTTCAGGCCAGTTATCTGCAGAGTCTATCCTTGCCTTCATTGGGCAGCGTTTGGTCCTTGGGCAGAGTGCAGTGAATTTAACTAGGTGTACTCTGGTCTATTTGTTAAATGAGACCCAATACTACTTCCACTAGACCTGAATCTTTGCATAACTCTCTGGTCAGGAGATGTGTGAGGAGGGGTTCCTGCTGGTTTTCTGAGGAAGGGTCCTGTCAAGCTAGGACTGAGTCAAACTTGACAAGGGGTAGAGTGCAGGGGTGTTGGACCTGGTATAAGCCAGTGCTCTGGTGTTTATAGCAGTTGGTTCTTTTTTTATGCTGACGGGTGGGGGAGGGAAATGGAGCCAGGCAGCTCCATTGTCTCTGGAGAGGGTTCTCAGTACTTGTTGTTCTCAGGAACTCAGTTTGAGAAGAGGGAATTCTCTCCCCGTTGTGTGTCCCAGGTGTTCTTTAGATGACTGTCTGCCCCCAGGTTGTTTGCCTGCCTTCTCTCCAGAATCAGTGCAGTTTGCTCTCCAGGCTCTATCCCAGCCATGCTGTGGATCTCTAAAACTCTAGTCTTCAATCCCTGCTGGTTGCAAAAACTCACAAATCTGCCCCTTTTGTTTTCCCAGCCAGTGGAATGGGTTCCCCTATATGCTTCTCTCTCCCTTGCCTTTCTCCCAGACAGGGCTCCCTCCCCTCTACAACACGAGAGATCTGTTTCTCCCCCAGAGCATGTCTCTGCACTTCCTACCTTCCTCCATGTGACCTCTTCTCTCCCTCTAGTTGTGTAGTTTGTTCTGTCAGTCCTCAGGTTGATTTCTTGGGTATTCAGAATGATTTGATAGTTATCTAGTTGTTTTCAAGGGAGAAGAGCTAGGATCCTTCTATTCCACCATCTTAGCTCTTCTCTCCAGCACTTTTTTTTGACATTTAAGTTATGTTACTCTTTCATTGTAACTTTTTTATTGTAGTGTTTTGTATTAATTGTAATAAGACATTTTTTAAGTGTACTCAGACTTACTTATAATTTATTGCTTTTTCCTGGCTTCCTATCTTGTGTTTTTCTACAGATTCAGTTTGTTTCATGTTTACACACACACACACACGCACACAAGCACGCACACCCTTGGCATGTAGAAACCATTTATTCTTCAATAATTTATTAGCACGTCTGTAGAGCAGTGCAGTAGGTGCTGTGAGGGACATATAAGTAGAGATGTTCTGGTCTTCCCTCAAGGGAATTAAAGTCTACTTCAGAAGATAAAGTATATCCTGAACAACCAAAGGACTGTTAAAAGGAACTGATAAATAAATGCAAGGTAAACTGCATGTGTGTATTTTGGGGACATGAAGTAATAGAATGATATGTATGGTTGGTTTAAGGAAGTTTTTTGGGGAAATATTTAAAATTTTTCTTACAGTGGATTGTTAAAGTACGTGCTTATTTTTGAGAATAGGAGAATTACGATATTATGGGGAGTGGGATGAATAACCCAGGAGACACAAATGATATGGTCCAAAACATGGAGATTGGAGTTGATAGATTCAGAGAGATGATATGTCTGAAAACAAGAGCAGCAAGACCAGAAAATAGTTGATAAAGAAGGTGATATGGGTTAGAGGCAGGAAGAAGATTTTATGGGGTAGGGCTTAGAAACCATACAAGGAAGAGCTGCTCTAAGTTCTTGAGCAATCAGTTATCAGGTGTTTACTTCCCAAGACCTATCATTGGCATTTTTAGTGTTGCACAGTAGGACAACTCAATGAAATGTAGGTTCTGTGGAGGATAAACCATGAAAGTGAAATGCATAATGCGGGTAGATTGAACAGGAGCCTGTTTTATCAGTAGTAATTTTGGAATTGGGACTTCCAGTAGAGTAATAGAAACTAATACTAAAACAAAATAAAGCAGGAAAGAATACAAAGGATCCTCTTAGATACCACATTGTGATAGGCCAACTTATATTTTATGGCAGACTTTTTCTAGCTCTGTCCCATCATCAAAAGTAATAATCTTTGATAACTACCATTGTTGAGCATTTACTATGTGCTAGGCACTGTGACAGGTTCTTTGCACATAATACCATGAAGACTAAACTATTAATCTTCAGAACAACCTTGTGAGGTAGATGCTATTATCCATATGTTATAGATGGATAATTTAGATCAGAGAGGATAAATAACTTGTCTAAGTTCACAGAGTTACCTAATCACAGGGTCAGGATTTGAACATTGTCCTGTTTATTCTGAAGCCTGTGCTCATAAGCACTTTTGATTTGTTTCTAAAATACAGTTCCCTTGATGGCATTAAATTCTCAAAAGTACATGTGACAGACCCTACTAAACTCTGAAATCTTTATGTGTATTTTTCAAATATTAATTGTTTCATATTGTATTGAAACTTTAACAGATGAATGTTTAGTGTGTGGTTCATATAAGGCAAAATGTATACTGAACTTGATAATATAAATGGGGTAAAGAAATAAAAATCACCATTAAAATAATATAAAAATGTCGGTACAATTATCAAAAGTGTGTTGTTATTATGGTTTCTCATTAGTCAGGATTTACATGAAGATGTTGAAGAAGCTGGTGCACTGCAGAAAAATCATGCTTCTGTGATATCTGAAAGCCCCACAGAAGCTGCACATTCTGCCTATCTGCCTTCAGAAGATGAGTCATTATGCACTGTGAGCTGTGAAATGCCCACAGAACAAACTCCAAGCAGTGATCTAGAGACTGCCCTAGAAATAAACGATGTGGAAGTAACAGGGGAAAAAGAAAAACATTATGACGATAAAACTTGTGTGAAGTCAGCTTCAGAAGAAGAAACAAGTGAAAATGTGCCTACAGCAGAAGACACTGCATTGCCACCAAAGAAAAATAGGATTACTTACTCACAAATTATTAAAGAAGGCAGGAGATTTAACATTGATTTGGTATCAAAAGTAAGTACTAATTTTCTTCATCTTATCATTAGAATAATACAAATTTTTAATTGAAAATAGCATCTGGGACCATAAACCCAATTATAATTTTATTTTTTGAAGTGTGGAACATTTTTTTTATAAAGAGATAGTAGCCAGAAATTTATAATTCAGTTAAAATATTCTTTAAATATAGGTTTAAAAATGCATTAAGAATGCTCAGTACTGTAGCACAAGAATACTTTTGTACTGGAGCAGAGACCACTCTAATATTCTACTACATGGACACCAAGAAACCTATCAAGAGAAAAATTCTAATGAGCCTAATTATAAATTTATATTTATAGTTAGTTTATTAAATGAACTTTTTTTTTAGCCCTTCTATAGCTATTTTAACATCTGTATGGGGGCACCTGGATGGCTCAGTCGTTAAGCGTCTGCCTTCCATCTCAGGGTCCTGGGATCGAGCCCCGCATCGGGCTCCCTGCTCTGCGGGAAGCCTGTTTCTCCCACTCTCACTTCCCCTGCTTGTGTTCCCTCTCTCACTTTGTCTCTCTGTCAAATAAATAAAATCTTTAAAAAAAGTCTGTATGATGATGAACATTCTGAATAAACCAATGCATTTTTGAAAATCACCTGTTCAGGTATGAGGGCTTGAGAGGATAATTTAATGGTTGGCGGGGGAGGGAGGCTGGAAACAATGCTACTCTTTGGTTATATTTCAGTCCCGAACTCTGATGTTAGGTCAGTGTAACTTCAGAGGAGGTCCCTGAGTCTTTGGAGAGTACAATGTTGTATTGGGTTTATAGGAAGCAAGGTTAATGTAGTGCAAAAAGAACAGAAAACCAGTAAGGATGGTCTTTTTTTTTTTTTTTTAAAGATTTTATTTATTTATTTGACAGAGAGAGACAGTGAGAGAGGGAACACAAGCAGGTAGAGTGGAGAGGGAGAAGCAGGCTTCCCGCTGAGCAGGAAGCCCGACGCGGGGCTCGATTCCAAGACCCTGGGACCATGACCTGAGCTGAAGGCAGACGCTTAACGACTGAGCCACCCAGGCGCCTCAGTAAGGATGGTCTTAAAAGGTTAGATATAGGGTGCACCTGGATAGCTTAGTTGGTTAAATGTCTGCCTTCAGCTCAGGTCTTGATCCCAGGGCCGATGGATAGAGCCCCACGTCTGGCTCCCTGCTCAGTGGGGAATCTACTTCTCCCTCTGCCCCTCCCCCCCAGCTCCTGTGCATGCTCGCTCTCTTTCTTTCAAGTAAATAAATACAAATCTTAAAAAAAAAAAGTTAGATATAGGGCTGGGAGAAAGTAGAAAGAAACAGACTAAATCCCATAAATTGAGGGCAAACAATAAGAAATTAAAAAGAAGTAGAGCGTAGTAAATAATATTAGACTTGCTTCAAAACTCAGCTTTTCAATTTAATGTGCTCTCTTGAAGTTCAAGTTACAGAGTAAAGAGAGACTAATTGCATAGTCCTCACATTTTGCTGATATAATCCCATATACTCGCACTGCTGCTCTCTTTGAACCTGATGCCTAAAAATACGAGTATATTTTTACTACCCTTTGTTTCTTTCCATCACATAGCTTTCTGTATCTGATTCTGTTCTGCTCTTGAGTTAACTGCTACTTTGGTCCTACTTCATATTTCTGTGCCTTCAGCTACTGTGACCCTGCCGTGCTTTGAAATCTAGCATTTTTTCCATGTTACCTTGGCTATTGATTTCTGGGTGGAAGTTTAATCATAGTTTATTAATGGTTTCCTGTTCTCATGAACAGAAAATAAGTTTTACAAAACCAAAAAATAAAATAAAAAAACAAGTAGTCAAGTTAACAAATGGGCTTTGTTCTGAAATTTTCATTTTTAGTTAGTTACTTGGAATATGGAATGCCTAATTTAAATGATGATATAAATTTTGGTTAAGAATCAACACTAGTGCGGCGCCTGGGTGGCTCAGTCAGTTAAGCGTCTGCCTTTGGCTCAGGTCATGATTCCAGGGTCCTGGGATTGAACCCCCTTGCTCTGCAGGGAGCCTGCTTCTCCCCCTCCTCCCTGCTTGTACTCCTCTCTCACTGTCTCTTCTTCTCTTTCTCTCTCAAATTAAAAAAAAAAAAAAAGAATCAGCAGTAGTTTATAATAGTCTCTAACCCTTATGGTAGCTGAAATACAGTATAAATATTGCAAAGGAAAATGGTAGAAGGTGGTGTATCAGTTTTTGGAATTAGTGTAGGAAATTATTCACTTGTATGAAAGAAAGTGAATGCTGATTGTAGTGGAGAGGGAGATAGTTTAATTAGATGCTAAGATGTTTGAGGAGACTTAAGATTTCTGGGTATTTTCATGAGTTTCAGTGGATCACAATAGTTTGTCTTTTAGGGTAAATTAAAAACAGATGTGTCTAGAGAAGTCAAGGCCGTTTACTTTTCCTGCACAGTAGTTTTCATGGTTTTATATATTTAAAAAATAATCAATAATAAATTCATCCTACAGAAGCAGCAGTAGCTAAAGAATGCAGAACCATTGCAATATAAGAGGTTTATTATCAATTGCAACATAAGAGGTTTATTATCATTTTTTAATGTTGAAGTCATTTAGTGAATATTTACTCAGTACCTATAGTCTAGAAAGCAGTACATTCCATGATATTGGGGCAATCAGTTACTCCTTGGAAATTCTATCAACTCTAGTTTCAGTTATGGCATCTAAATTTAGGATGATTGCCAAATATCTATTTCAAGCCCTACCTCTTTCCTAAAGTCCTGTTTGATGTCTCCAACCTACTTGACATTTCTACATGCGTTCCATCTCAAAGTCATCATGGTAAAACTGACACACACACTACTGTGGTGCTTTACCCACATCGATATAGCCTTTTAAAAAGTAGTCTTATACTACTCAGGGTAGGTTAAATAAAATACTTACCATTTTTATATAGTGTATATATTATTATTATAGTATAATATGTTGCTTAGAGTAATAGAGAAAATCAAAGTTGAAGGTCTTAACCAATTAAAACTCTTTTCTAAGAAAGTCCATACCTTTAATAATTATGGAACCAACATGGCCAAGTGAAGCAAAAATGATTAATTAATTAAATCTAATTGTCAATATTTTAATCACATTGAAATATTCTTTTTATTTTTATTGAAGTATGATTAACATATAATATTATATTAGTTTCAGTTATACAACATTGACTGGACAGTTCTATACATTTACTAATTGCTCACCACTATTACTCACCACCTGTCACCATACAACATTGTTACAATATTATTGACTATATTCCCTGTGCTGTACTTCTCATCTCCATGACTTACTTATTTTATAACTGTAAGTTTGTACCTCTTAATTCCCTTTATCTATTTCATTCACCCAACCACAGCCACCCATCTCCTCTCTGGCAGCTACCCAGTTTGTTCTCTGTAGTTGAGAGTCTGGTTTTTTGTTTCTTTGTTCATTTGTTTTGTTTTTTGGATTCCACATATAAGTGAAATCATATGGTATTTGTCTTTCTCTGACTTATTTCACTTAGTATACTGCCCTCTAGGTCCATCCATGTTGTTGCAAAAGGCAAGATTTCATTCTTTTTTTATTACCAAGTAATTCCATTGTATATACACACAACTTTATCCATTTTTCTATTGAAGGATACTTGGTATTCTTTAGCCTCTCATCACTGAAATTTCTGTTACATCACTTAGAGAGTGGTGAAAAAGAGGCGTAGGTTTAAATACTTGTTATTACTAAGCTTCAGACAAAAGTTTAGTGTAGTTTTAATTGAAATGTGTTCTCTTCAGTGTTATCTTAAATGCATTATTTTTAAGCTGGCATTAAATCTTAAGCTTTACTAGATCTTATTAAGTGAAAATACATCTTGTGTTTGTGTTAATATTTGTGAAATTATTATGACTACTGAGGGATCATTGAATTTCAAGTATCTGTTGAAACAAATTAGGTATTTGAAGTACCTGTTTTTTATTATAATTACAGAATACTTGGCAATATATTCTTAAAAACATGGGCTATATCAGTTGTGTAGGGTATTAGGCTGAAGATAGTGAATTAACATGCTATATTTAGTCAGGGTAATTGGATTAGTTTCAGAAAAAGAAGCAATGCCAGCTTTGTTCTGTACAATGCTGGACTTTATAAAAATTCACCTGATACTGATTTTCAGTCTTTACTGACCTCTTGGATACTCAGACTAACCGGTTTGGATTGATTTTTTGAAATTCCCTTTTTCTTTGTAGTAAAGCTAATTGTTTTCTTTCCCTCCCCTATTACAGATGTAACATTTACATTTTTAACATTTATTTATAGACACTTAAAGGTATATCAGTATAGGACATAGCCAAATTTGTTGCATTTAACCATATGGTTAAATTTAGAACATGCTAGATAATACTGTTGAAGTTGTTTTTGTCTGTCTGATATTGTTTATGAGCGATGTGAATGATTAAATCAATTCCTCACATGCATGCTGGCGATGCCCATCATCCTCACTTCTTGAAAAAGACATACCATTTAAATCTAGCCTGCTAGGATGATAGAGGGACCTTAAAATTCAACTGTTGTGGTGGAAATGCATAACCAATCTTTTTCTTTTTTGTTTGGTGAGGAAGTCCAGCGAGCTGTTGTCTTAATGACCACTTGTCGTTTTATAAGGCTACAGTCTCTTATTCAAAACCCTTGGGACTGGTGTGTTCTGTTATTGAGATTTAAAAAATTATTTTAGAAAGTAATACAGTACATATGCTGACATGCTATAGATGATGTAACAACAGTCTTAGCAGAGTCTGAGGAGGCACTCTATAATTAAACCTATTAATATTTCTGCAGTCAAATGTATGAATATTCACAGTAAGTGGGGCAAAGACAGAAGAGCCTTATATCAGTTTGGGTCATTTTGTTGCCAAACTAATTATGGAAAAACTTTGAATTCCAGAGTTTTTTGGGTTTTGAATTTCAGATAATCAATTGTAAACCTGTCGTAAAGTGTGTTATGTACGACAGTATTAATAGGTAGAATGCTTTTTACAAATATTTAAAAATATAGTGGAATTATATATATCTTTATTTAGCATTTATCAGTTTTTCCACAATTTTACCTTTTATTTCATCCTGTAAAATATTTTCTTTGTACAGCTGCTGTATTCTCGAGGATTGCTAATTGATCTTTTAATCAAATCTAATGTAAGTCGATATGCAGAGTTCAAAAATATTACCAGGATTCTTGCATTTCGAGAAGGAAGAGTGGAACAGGTACTTTGCTACTGAAGTATTGTAACTGGGTATGAGCTTAAGTAATTTATTATGGTATGTTTTGGAAGGATAAGCAAATAGGATTGTTATTTTCCTGGCAAAGCAGCAAATTCCAATCCTGCATGGTAAAAGTAAATAGTAAGAGATTACTCAGTTAAAATTTCTAGTGTTAATTTTTTCATGAGTTATTCTGCAGCCTGATGTTGGTGTTGAGAAAAGGTTAATATCAGGCAGTATTGCTAGATTTGAGCTGTCATTTGTACCCAGTTAGGGGTGACGTGCCATTGGCCTTTTAATGGCATAAGGAGCAACTTGGCAGAACTAAGTAAGAGAGCTCACAAGTTAATTAGCTCTGAAGCCAACAGAGATGCCATTAGAACTGATGGAAGGTAACATGAATGGCTAGAATGGAAATAATGATCTTGTTATAGTTAAAAGGAAAAAATGTAATTTGGAATACTTGTATCAGTAGGAAGCAGTTTCTTAACTTAAAATCATGTTTTTCAGGTTCCTTGTTCTAGAGCAGATGTCTTTAATAGCAAACAACTTACTATGGTAGAAAAGCGAATGCTAATGAAGTTTCTTACATTTTGTATGGAGTATGAAAAACATCCTGATGAATATAAAGGTATTGTTTTCTATTAAATTGTGTTCTCTAGGTATTTGAGCTTTCTTAATATGCTTGCTCTGATGTAGTAAGCCGCTCATTTCTCCAGGAGGTTTGCCATGAATAACATGTAGCTATTTAAATTAACATTAATTAGAATTAAATAATATTTAAAATTCAGTTCCTCAGTTGGACTAGCCATATTTGAAGTGCTCAGTGGCCACATATGGTTATTAGCTACTATGGCTACAGTACAGCTATAGAATGTTTTCATCATTGTGGAAGTTTTTATTCTTGTTAAGTAAATACTTCTGTCAACTAGTTCTTCATAGATGATATTCTCTTTTCATTGTTCCATTAATTTTTTTCAGCAGTTAAAAAAATCTGTATATTTTTTTCATTTTCCCAGGATTATTTTTGCTTGGTATATTGAATTATTCATTTTGACTGATTAAGAAAAAGAGGCTAGATGGTATGGGGAGTGTATTAGAGGACATGATGGTTTCTAGTCTTGGCTTTGACCCAAATCATACAGTTACTTTAGAGTTTGTTGAAAATTGAATATCTCTGTTTAATATCAGCGCTTTATACTTTTTAAGTGCTTTGGGCTGGAAACGTTATCCAAAATAGGAATATTCTATTGATGTTTCATTTATAAGGTTACAATGAGAAATATAGCAGTGTTGTTTTTTTTTTTTTTTACTTGATGGAATATTAAAAGTCAGGCTCTTGCTCTTAAAGCTTCATGTCCATTAGATACTGCCAAATTGTTCTTCATAGTGGTGTAAACTTATGTTCTCTAAGTAAATTTTTATAATTTTTATATGTTTTTCTCTTTCATCATGGAGTTGTATTTCCTACCACTAACAGTCCAATTACATTTTTTTCTGTTCTTTAAATGAGTTTTTAGGGGTCCCTTGTTTTGAGGTGTGATATAAGGCAGTAAGACTGATTCCATTAGCCACACAGAAATTAACTTCCTTACTTTTTAGTCATAGTTTATTGTTCTTAGTTTTAGTAAGAAATATACATTTCAAAAAAATTAAGTATCGCTCTATCATTGTTTTCACCAAAAAATTGCCATTTGTCATATTTAATATTTCAAAGTGTAATTATTGACATTATTCTGCAGTTTTAATGATAAGTAAATTATTGCCAATTATGGAAACCTATTGTGATGGTTAATGAATTATTTAATATTTTTCTAATTTTTTAAGTCTGTAAACTACTAAAGATTCATTGTTTAAAGCTTAAAAATTGTGCCATTAATTCAGTTAAGATAGTGAGATTGTTTCTAGTTTCTTTTTTTCCCCTAAAATCTGTGGTTTCTGTCCAAAATGTAATATTTACCACCTGGGTCCTTTGCCAAGTGTTTTGAACAGGCTTGATCTCTTTTGTGCAGTTTTTTTTAAATTGGAAGTTTGGTTCTGATTTTAACTGATAAATTTTTATCTTTACATAGCCTATGAGGAGATTACATTTTCTGAGTATTTAAAAACTCAAAAATTAACCCCCAACCTCCGGTACTTTGTCCTGCATTCAATTGCAATGACATCAGAGACAGCCTGCAATACCGTAGATGGTCTCAAAGCTACCAAAAACTTTCTTCGCTGTCTTGGGCGGTATGGCAACACTCCATTTTTGTTTCCTTTATATGGCCAAGGAGAACTTCCTCAATGTTTCTGCAGGTAAGACTGGCATTGGTTCTCTTGTTTCTTCTTAAGGTAATAACAGATGAAAATTAAAAAAACAAAAATGAGATTTATTCAAGATTTAGTATATGCAAGCATACTTTGTTGTTCTGCTCTTTTATAAATCTATGTATTTGCCTACCTACCTATCTGATATTCAGTTTGGCCTGTGTTTGAACTTCATAAAATAGAACCCCACTGTAAATTCCTTATTTCACTCAATATTATGTTTCAAAACATCATCCTTGTTTTGCATAATTAGAGTTACTTTCATTGCTATGTAGTATTCCATTGTGAATATACCACAATTTATTTGTCCATTTTTCTTTTGGTAGAGACAAGATATTTCCAGGGGTTTTTTTGTTTGTTTGTTTTTGGTTTTTTTGTTTTGTTTTTTGCTGTTATTAACATCCTTGTGTATGTTTCTGGATATATATGTTCAAGAATTTCTCTAGGATACATATCTAGGAGTGGAATTTCCAAGTCATGGGGTATATGAATGTTCATACAAGATAGTATCCAAATTTTTCTCCAGAGCACTGTACCAGTTTACATCCCACAGCACTATATAAGAATTTCCATAGGTCTACATCTTTGCCAACGTTTGTTATTAGGTTTTTAAGTTTTTGTCAGTCTGACTCACATAAAATAGCCTCACATTATACTTTTATTTTGCATTTCCTAGACTACTTATGAGGAGGAGCATCTTCTCATATGGTTATTGGATATTCATGTTTTCTCTTTCGTGAAATGCATGTTCCTGTGTTTTTCCATTAGTCTCTTGTGTTACTGTATTTTCCTTATTGATTTGTAGGAGTTTTTCTTCTGAATACTAATCTTTTCTTAGTTGTATGTGTTGCATATATCTTGCTTTATGGTATTCATGATGCATGGAGGTCATTAAGATTAATGTAGTCAAACATAACAATCTTTTCTTTTTATACTTAGCACTTTTAGGGTAGTGGAGCATGGTAGTTAAAAACCTGGACTATGGAGACAGACTACCAAGATTTAAGTCCTGGCTTCTCCATTCGTTGGCCATGTAACCTTGAGCAAGTTTTACAGTCTATTATGTTTTCGAAGAATCAACTTTTTGGCTTTTTGATTCTTTCTATTACAGCTTTGTGTTCCTAGTTCATTAATTTCCATTCTTTATTATCTCCTTTATTTTACTTTCTTTGGGTTTTGTTCAGCTCATCCCTCCCCTTTTCTGTCCCTGCCAATTCTTAGGATGAAACCCAATGTTAAATATTAAGTATCTTTTTTATTTTCTAATATAAGCATTTGAGATGATAAAGTGCCAACTCCTCTTTTGACTCTTCACAGTTATTATGTATTATTTTCATTATCTTTTAGTCCTAAGTATCTTAATTTCCATTATGATTTCTACATTGACCCATGGATTGTTGAAGGGTTTTATTTTATTTTTTAAGATTTATTTATTTGACAGAGTGCACAAGCAGGGGGGGTGGGAGAGGGAGAAGCAGAATCCCCACTGAGCAGGGAACCTGATGTGGGGTTCGATCCTGGGAGTCCGGGATCATGAACTGAGCTGAAGGCAGGCGCGTAACCCACTGAGCCACCCAGGCGCCCCATTATGAGAGGTTTTAAAATAGCTGATTTGGTTGATTCTTTTGCTCTTACCATCTAATTTCATTGTAGAAAATTAAGTTACATCTGGAAAATGTTTTTTTTTTATTTAAATTCAATTAGCCAACATAGTGTGCATCATTAGTTTTTGATATAATGTTCAGTGATTCATTAGTTGCGTATAACACCCAGTGCTCATCACATCACGTGACCTCCTTTAATGCCCATCACTCGGTTACTCCATCCCCCCACCCTCCTTATCCACAACCCTCAGTTTGTTTTCCGGAGTCAAGAGTCTCTCATGGTTTGTCTCCCTCTCAGATTTCTTCCCATTCAGTTTTTCCTCCCTTCTCCTATTGTCCTCTGCCCTATTTCTTATATTCCACATATGAGTGAAACCATATGATAATTGTCTTTATCTTATTGACATATTTCACTTAGCATGATACCCTCCACTTCCATCCATGTCGATGTAAATGGTAGGTATTCATCCTTTCTGATGGCTGAGTAATATTCCATTGTATATACGAACCACATCTTTATCCATTCATCTGTTGAAGGGCATCTTGGCTCCTTCCACAGTTTGGCTATTGTGGACATTGCTGCTATGGAAAACATGTTTTTATGGTATTAATACTTCGAGCTTTATGTTATGACTTAGTATGTCATCAATTTTTGTAATTTTTCCATTTATGTTCAAGAAGAATGTGTTTAGTTCTTGGACACAGGGTTCTCTAATTATTGGTCTTGGAGTCTAATAAGGCAGGCTTCGAGTTATAATTTGCAAATTTTTTTTGTAATTTGCAAATTTTGTTGAGTTTTTTCCTTTGATCTACCAGTAATAAAGTATTTTAAAATCTCCCATTATGATGTTTGATTTCTCAATTTCTCCTTATAGTTCTGTCAGTTTTTACCTTATATTTATTTTGAGGCAATTTGTTAAGATCATTTAAATTTATAACTGTTTAATCTTCCTGATGAATGTAATATTTTACATTATTTGCTGACTTTCTCCATCCCTAATAATGCATTTTTTTTCCTTAAAGTCTACTTTATCTGATATTATAATAGCTACTACAACTTATTAGTGTTTGCCTGTTTTATCTTTCTCCATCTCTGAGTCTTCTGAGTCTGTATTTGGGGCTCTCAATAGCAAATTATTACATATTTTTAATCTTTTAATTTTTCTCTGTCTTTTACCAAGCAGGATGAATCTTGTTAATAGGAGTCTGTTCCTTCCTTTTGAAGTATCTAATTTTAAAAGTTCCTCTGGTTTACATCTGTTGGCAGTAAATGCCTAGTTTGTATATGAACATAACTTTTTTTTGCCTTTTTGTTTTGAGGGAAGATTTGTGAGGAAATCATTTCTAGGTTGGCAGTTCTTTTTCTCAGTACTTTAAAATTTTATTCCACTGTCATTTGGATTCCTTCTTTTGCTTTTGAAAAATTGATGTCAGCCTAATTGTCATTTCTTTATAAATCATATTTCTTTTCTCTCAGGTTGTTTTTAAGATTGTTTGTTTTTGGTGTTCTGCATTTTCACTACAGTGAATTTAGGTGTTTCTTTATCTAGCTTGGTATCAGTTAAATCATTTGTAATTAATAATATTAAACCATTTTGACCTACAATTCCATATGGTTCAAACAACTTCAATGTATTTCCTCTATCTGTGAATTGTCATTTATCATTTTGGAAAATTGTCAGCCAGTATCTTTGCAAATACTGGTTTTCCTCCATTGTCTCTCTCCTTCCTTTTTTGGAACCCTAACTAGAAATGTTTTAGAATTTTGCATTCTCTCATCCCTATTTCTTAATCTCTTTCATACTTTCTATCTCCTTGTCATTCTGGCTATATTCTGGGTACTTTATTAAGATCTCTTTTCCAGTTTATTAATTCTTTCTATTTGTCTCTGATCCTCTCATTTTTTTACTTCAATATTGTAATCTTTCATTTGTAGAAGCTCTGCTCCTCCTCTCCCCAGATCTTTCTTGTTGTTTGATATTTTCTTTTGTTTGTTCATTTTGTTCATATATCTTACATTCTGTTGATTCATGTTATTGGTTTAGTTTCTTGTGCCATGCTTATCTTTGAGAATTTATATTTGATTGGTTTTAATCTTTGGAAATCTGGGGACCCAAATTAAGGATGCTTTCCTTCAAGGATTGTGTTTGCTTCAGCCAGAAGGCACTAAGATTTGGGACCATTTCAGCTCCTTTCAGGGGATCCTTTCTTTTTTTTAATTTAAATTCAATTAGCCAACATACCGTACATCATTAGTTTCAGATGTAGTGTTCAATAATTCATCAGTTGCATATAATAAGGGGATCCTTTCTTATTAAAGGAGGATCCTTTCTTATTAAAGGAACCCCAGGTACAGTTCCCACACTGATTAATATGAGCAACAAGACTTTTTTTTAACATAAAAGTAAAACTTTATTAGAAATGCATCTCTTAGAATAAACAGATAGTTACTAGACTGGAGATGGGTGGGGGAATGGGTTAAATAAGTGATGGGGATTAAGGAGTGCACTTGTGATGAGCACCAAGTATTTTATGGAAGTGTTGAATCACTATATTGTACACCTGAAATGTAAAGTTACATTGTATGTTAACTAACTGGAATTTAAATAAAACTTAAAAAATGCATCTCGTAGTGACATGACTGTTTAAAAACATGGTTCATGTATCTTGGGAAGAGTGTTACTTATGGCTAGAATGAAGACTTGCTTTTTTTTTAATTAAGATTTTATTGATTGATTGATTTGACAGAGAGAGAGAGAGAGAGTAGAGGAGGGGGAGCGGCAGGGAGAGGGAGAAGCAGACTCCCACTGAGCAGAGAGCCCAACATGGGGCTTGATCCCAGGACCCTGGGATCATGACCTGAGCCGAAGGCAGACGCTTAACCGAATGAGCCACCCAGGCGCCCCAAAACTTGCTTTTATTTAATTGCAGTGTTTTTTTTTTTTTTTTCTTGAAGCTTTGAATTTAGCTCAAGGTTTTTTGTACTGTGTGTGTGTATTTGGGGTTGGGGAGTTTCTTGTAGACATTTCTTTCAATCTCAGCAGTGCAATAAAAGTTATGCTTAATGTAAAAAGTCATTTTTTTTTGGTAGAAACAAGAGGTCCCTTCACAGTATCCAGTCCAGTATACTGCTGGAAGTAGATATTCTCCTGTACACATTTCTTAATCATGCAGAGGTGAGAATGTTATAAATTTGAAAGTAATTTAATTCTGAATATGATAGGTCTGTGTATTTCCGGACAAACTCTTCCTTCTCCAGTTACTTGCCAGAGTAGGCATGAATAGGGACTGTCATTTCCCACAGGACCAGAGGTCCTCCTATCAATTTAAACTAAGAGGGAGGTTTTCTGGTTTTCTTAATCATTCTTTTCCTCTTCCTGTGGC